GTTAGTTACTGCTAATGAATGGATCAGAACAACTTAATAGACATCTCAGAAACTAATAAAAATATATTTCAAATTTAAAATGTGATAAAGCAGCATTTCTATTTAGTAAGGAAAGGAAGGCTTATTCAATTAATGGCATTGGGATATTGGACTATGTTATTTTTGTAAGAGAATAAAATTAATTCCCACCTCACTCAGCAAACAAATACAAATTCCAGATAAATTAAAGATGTGCATTTAAAAATAAAATTATAAAAATATTTTAAAATTTAAATATTGAAAAATTTAAACCCTTAGGAGAAAACATGGGAAAATACTTTGGGGGTTGGAAAGATGCTCCGAGTAGGACAAGAAAACCAAATTTCACAGAAAGTAGCAATTGAATGATGGAATTATGTAAAAATGCAGTCAAGGATAAACAATAATTCCAGGAGAAAAAATTATAAAACACATAATAGACAAAAGGTTAATAGACTTAAATACGAAAAGTTGGTACAAGTTAAAAAGGAAAAATTAAAAATATGCAAAGAATCAAAATAGGCAATTCACACTACAAGGAAAACAGATGGCTAATATACATATGAATAGAGGCTGAACCTTACAAATTTTAAAGAAATGAAAATCAACATCACATTGAAAAATTACAGTTCTCCTATCAGATTGGAAAACAGTTAGTCCCCAGTGCTGGTGGCAGGTAACTTAGTATAGCCATTTTAGAAAGTAATTTGACAATAGCTACTAAGAATTTTAACTGTGTAAATCTTTTAATCCAATAATTTCACTTTGGGCACCTACCTGCTGAAATTACAGCATGAGAACATATAGATAGATCTATAAGGATATTCATTGCTACACAGTTGCAATCACGAAAGAAATTGTTACAATTTCTATATTCGTCAATAGGACAATAAATTAATTATGGTATATATTATAATGGAATGTTCTGTTCCCTTTAAAAATAAAAAAGTATTAACCATAGTATATAGTTAAATTCTAAAAAAGCAAATTAAAGATTAAAATGTATAAGGTAATTCCTTTTTCTGTCTGTGTATCAGATCACTTTACATTATAAGTAACAGAAAAATCTAACTCCATTTTGGGTTGAACACAAAGGGGATGTCTTTGTCCTGTAACTGAGAAATATGTTTCCAGTTTTAGGTTTATCTAAAGATTTGACATATAATCAGGAGCTCCATTTCTTTATAACTCTCTCAGACACCCAGGTGTTGACTCTCCTAGGATCAGAATTAAGGTGAGATGAGTGTGGCACTTACTTCGGGTGCAAAATTTAAGGGGGTACCAAAAAGCACAGTAATCAAGATAAACGATATTTTAATGAAATGTTTTTTTACAATGAAAATCAATGTAAAAAATCCATGATGAACAAAATATCAAAATATTAAATAAAGATAGGATCTGACAATGCTATACTGAGCCACTATTTGGAGCCTGAGGCAAAAGGAAAAAATGGGAGCTCTATATAGGTTTTCATGTATTTTTAATGGTTGAATTTTTTC